ATCCCTCTTTCCCTGGGATGGATGGATGGATGGATGGATGGATGGAGTGTTCCCTCTTCCCAGCAGGGGGTCGCCTTGCTTCCTTATGGATTTTTCTCCATAGGTGTAATGGCCATGAAATGTAATGAAAAAAATATAGTGCCTTATCCTCTTTAAAATGTAATTTATTAAATAAAGTAGTGCACTCACATGTATGACAAGTTAAAAATGCTTTAAAATGTTGAAATTTGAATCCACAGTAAAGTTTTCCAATATTGCTGAATACTTCTGTATGTTGCTTTAAGCGTTGTGACGTCACACATGCAAAATTGTACAGAGGATAAGGCGCTATATTCTTTTATTACATTTCATGGCCATTATACCTGTGGAGAAGAATCTCTAAAGGAAGCAAGGAGACCCCCTAATGGGAAGAGGGAACACTCCATCCATCCATCCATCCCAGGGAAAGAGGGATAATCCTATCCATTTACCACTAAGTCCAATTAAGCTTTTTATGAGCTCACTAAACAGTTTGGTCATATACACCAGGTGAGAGCACAACCGGGGAAGGTGCATAATATTTTTTATGATTGGTGGACTGCACGGGTTATTATCTCCTATCACAGCACTAGAAGTGTCAAAGTCACAGACTTAATAAGGACATGTTTGCAGCAGTAATATAATTGCAGTGATATTGATATATATTCTTTTGATGCTGGACTCATTTTTATTTAATATTTATTTATTCACATTTTTTTGCAATTGGTAGTGGAGCGCGACACTATTTCTGATTTTATATTTTACCATTTGTCCTGAAAAAAAAAACAAGGTGTAATCCACTTGGATACACTAAGTAGTTGTGATAAATGTGTCAAAATTCCAAATTTGTGTTCAGGCATTAAAATGTGTTTTATCCTCAGTCCCCAGGGGGTTAATTATAGTATAATATAATACATTTAACAAAAGATGACATTTATTACAGTTTCCTAAAATGTTTTGCAATATATGTAACGAGAAGAGAATTGTTTTTTTTAATCAAAATTGTCTCATGCTTTACATTTTCTGCCCTTCACTGTCAACTCTATTTTGGTGGTGGAGCGCGACACTATTTCTGATTTTATTGCTTATGACACAATGGTATGAGTATGTGTAGAGTGTAAGCCAACCACATTCTTTCACAGTTTCTACACACATTTTACATTTTATTTTCACTATTGTATTGGTTTACCACAATTTTAGTATCATTTATAGTATTTAATCATTTAAATATTTATCAGCACTTTGTATACACCATAGCAGCTCATAAGACCCCACACTTTAGTATTACATGGTAAAATATATCCCCTGATTTTTTTTATTATTAAAGGAAAACTGGCCCCCCAAATTGTAACAGCAGCCCACCAAGTGGTAGGCCACAAAAAAGTCAGAGCGGGGTCAGCGCATGCTGAAGTGCACAAAAGTCACCAACTGTCTGCAGAGTCAATAGATGAAGACTTGGCTTTGGGTTTAATACGGCTTTAACAAAAGCCTGGTGTCCAAATAAACACAGCACTACAACATTGTATAACAATCTTTTCCTATAGCCCTGTTCCCCTCGGCCTCTGTTGCCGGCACTTAATAAAGTGGAACTTCACTCTCTCAATCAACATTGACTATTTTTATTCCTCATACTGATAGTAAATAGATAGGAAAGTATATTATATTTACCTGTTTTAAACTTTTTTTTTCATTTCTTAAGTTACTTCTTGGTTTCCATACCTAGGCAAATAATGTCATACATCCCAGCCTTCAGTAGAGGAGGAGGGGTTTGCTGAACTAAGCACACCCTCCTGCCTTCATGCCTAAGCTAAGGGCAGATGGATTCCAGGAAGTAAATGCTACACACACTCACTGGCCACTTTTTTTGGTACACCTGTTCAATTGCTTGGTAACACAAATTGCTAATGTTAAGTACTCCTTTTGAATGAAGGACATCAACGCCAATTCTGTTGCATTCGTCTGATAGAAGTTTACTGGAGAATTACAATGTACATCGGGTCACAAAGCATGCAGAAAGCAATGTGACAAAAAATGATTACATGGGTGGATGTTTATATAGGAATTCTTCAACATGACCTGTTCAATTGTTTGGTAACACAAATTGCTAATCAGCCAATCACATGGCAGCAACTTAATGCATTTAGGCATCTAGACGTGGTGAAGACGACTTGCTGAAGTTCAAACTGAGCATCAAAATGGGGAAGAAAGGGGATTTAAGGCTGAGAGCTGCTCTCCAAGACTTAGACTGGGAGGGAATATTAGCATCGATGAACACAACACAGAAATGTGAGTTTTTTCCAAAAGACTGTATGTGAACACACTGCAAAATATATTCCCATTTGAACAAGAAAAGAGCTTTTATTAAATATAAAAATGAAGGAACGCAATCATCGTTTAAACATTACAAAGAATATTACAAAAAATGCAGAAAGGAAATAAAGGCTGCAAACATTGAAAGTGAACGACAGATTGCAAGAGATAGCAGGGCCAACCCCAAAAAAGTCTTCAAATATATTGACCCCTTGCCCTCTAGAGGATTTATCTCCTTAATGACCAGGCCTCTTTTTGCTACTCGGCGCTGCACTAATTCAACTGATAATTGCGCGGTCATGCAATGCTGCACCCAAATGAAATTTACGTCTTTTTTTCACACAAATAGAGCTTTCTTTTGGTGGTATTTGATCACCTGTGAGCTTTTTATTTTTCACGCTATAAACAAAAAAAGACCAAAAATTTTGAAGAAAAACTATATATTTTTTACTTTCGGCTATAAAAAATATATAGCAAACTCAAAGTTAGTTATAAATTTAGGCCAAAATGTATTCTGCTCCATGTTTTTGGTAAAAAATCCCAATAAGTGTATATTGATTGCTTTGTGTGAAAGTTATAGCGTCTACAAACTATGGTATAGATACTGCAATTTACTCCATTTGTTTGCTATACAGCGCTGCACTGGTTTAACTGACAATTGTGCGGTCATGCAATGCTGTACATAAATTAAATTTATGTCCTTTTTTCTCACAAATAGAGCTCTCTTTTGGTGGTATTTGATCACATGTGAGTTTTTTATTTTTGGCTCTATAATCAAAAATTTTTGAGAACAAATTTGTTTTGAAAAAAACAATATTTTCTCTTTTCTCTCAAACAAAATATCCAAAAAACTAAAAAATCATCATAAATGTAGGCCAAAATGTATTCTGATACTTGTTTTTGGTTAAAAAAATCCCAAAAAGTGTATATTGATTGCTTTGTGTGAAAGTTATAGCGTCTACAAACTGTGGTATAGATAATGGAATTTACACAGCTTTTCCTTTCTGACTGCCTATCACATTTCTTGAGGTGCTAAAATACCAGGACAGTACAAACACCCCCAAATGACCCCTTTTCAGAAAGTAGACACCCTAAGCCTTCTGCTGAGAGGCATATTGAGTCCATGGAAGATTTGTTTTTTTTTTCTTCAAGTATCTGGAAAATAACAAACTTTTTTTTTTTCTTCATAAAGTTGTCATTTAAATGATATATTTCTCGCACAAGCCATGGGTATATGTGGAATTACACCCCAAAATACATTCTGCTACTTCTACCTAGTATGGGGATACCACATGTGTGAGATGTTTTGGGAGCCTATCCACATACAGGAGCCTGAAATCCAATGACCACTTTGAAAGCCTGAAGGTAAGTAACTTCCTCATTTCACTTCCTTACTACCTATCACAGTTTCAGAGGCCCTGAATTGCCAGGATAGCACAAACCCCACCCCCCCAAATGACCACTTTCTGGAAAGTAGACACCCCAAGGAATTTAAAAAGAGGCATGGTGAGCAGGGGCATACTGGCCATTTGAGCACTCGGGCCCTTCCCGAGGGCCGGGGTTCAGTAGAGGCCCCATGAAATGCTCCTGGAACCTTTTTTATAGGGTTTTTTGGGTGTGCTTTGAGTGTGGGCAAGGACACAGGGGCCCCATGATCCCTTATTGCCCAGGGACCCCATAAGTTGTCAGTTCGCCCCTGATGGTGAGTATTTTGCAGATCTCATTTTTTCTCACAAGGTTTTGAAATATAAAAAAGGAAAAGAAAAAATAGTTGTTTTTTTTTTTTTCCTTTTTCAAAAACTTGTGGCAACAAACGAGATCTGCAAAATACTCACCATGCTTCTGATCAAATTCCTTGTGGTGTCTACTTTTCAAAAAGAGGTCTTTTGGGGTGGGGGGGCTTGGTGCTGTCCTGGCATTTCAGGGCCCCGAAACTGTGATAGGTAGTCAGGAAGTGTAATGAGGAAATAAAGCCCTTTGCGAGCCTGAAGGTGCTTATTGGATTTTGAGGTCCTGTACTTGGCTAGATTGCCAAAACGTCTCTCACATGTGGTAACCCCATACTCGGGAGAAGCAGCAGAATGTATTTTGGGGAGTAATTTCACATAAACCCATGGCATGTGAGTAATAAATCATTTAAGTGACAATTTTATGTAAAAAAAAAATTTTTTGTCATTTTGCAAAAACTTGTAAAAAAATACATTCTTCTATTGATTCAACATGCCTCTCAGCAAATAGTTTGGAGTGTTGGAGTGGAGGGACTCCTCAACGCAGATGTTTTGCTGGGGAGTATAGACATCTGCAAATTTTTCGGTTAAGGTGAGTTACGAGGGGCTGAATTTAGTGTGAATTCAGGGTCACCCCGAGGATGACAGAGTGTATTGTCGTTGAAATGCATAAAACACATTATACTCTCATATCAATGCCTGGCCATGGCAGCAGAGAATACGGGCATATGATGAATCGGGTCTGTGGACCAATATAACTGCAATTCATTTTTTTTAGTAATGTCCATGTTGAGGGTTAGGTCCAAAAAAAATTTTTAATTCAGAAACCGTAATGAGCTTCCATGCGAATGGTCTGGCAAGGTTTGAATTTGGGTTGGTGGAGATAAATTGTTGTGCATATAAATTGCTTTGATCCACAATCAATGCATACAGATCTTCCGTGAAAAACAGCTCCAAATAATCAAGGGGGTTAGTTAAATTTGCTATTTCAACCTGAATTCCGGGTTGGGCAGTGAATGGGGGAAGCATGGGTGCTGCGGAATTTGTGGGCTGCCAATCGGGATTTGCAAGCACATCCGGAAGGGTACTAGGGGCTCTATGGGCCTGTGTGCGAATTCTTGGTGGTTGCGGGACAATACTTGTGCTCGCCACTGCACCAGCTTGTACTGCACTTATGGGACTCGCCACGTCACCGAGTGATACTGCAGTGCTGGTATTATTATTATTATACAGGATTTATATCGCGCCAACAGTTTGCTCAGCGCTTTACACTATAACGGGAGACAATACAGCAACAATACAGTTCAATACAAGAGGGTAAGGAGGGCCCTGATCCTTGGAGCTTACAATCTAAGAGGTATGTGAAAGACCAGGATGTACTAGGCTGCTGGTGCTCGCCAGTTCACCAAAAGGTAGCGCGGCAATACTAGCAATGTAGGTTTATTGTGCATGAACATGTTCCTGGCAGTCAAGGGGTTAAATGTAATCACTGGTATACTGATGGGCAATTTGATGCTATCTGGGAGGGGCGTGAAAACCACGGGAGCACAAATTGTGTATATATATGTGATTTTGTGCACCTGTGCCTCCCTGTAGCAGTATTTGTGCTATAGGGCGGTCAGGAAGCGGTTACATAAGCGGTTTGTGTTATGGCGCTGCATCACTTTAACTGACAATTGCGTGGTCATGCAACACTGCACCCACATGAAATTTACATCCTTTTTTTCCCCATGATTTGGGCTTTCTTTAGGTGGTATTTGATCACCTGTGCGTTTTTATTTTTCGCACTATAAAAAAAAAAACAACTTTGATAAAAAAAACAATATTTTGGACTTTTTGCTATAAAACATGTCCAGTAAAAAAATTTAAAAATCAAATTTCGGCATAAATTTCGGCCAAAATGTATTCTCCGACATGTCTTTGCTAAAAAAAATCAGAATACATGTAAATTAATTAGTATACGTGAAAGTTATAGTAATTACAAATGGCGGTATAGATACTGGATTTTTTTTTTGTATACTAATAATATGGCGATCAGCGGCTTATGGAAGCAATCAGCGATTTATGGCGGCGACCGTGACTTATATGGCGGGACTGCGGCGGACATTCTGACACTGGGGGGGGGACTGACTTGGGGTCACTGACATCCCTACTGACACCAATACAGTGATCAGTGCAAAAAAAACCCCACTGGCACTGTACTAATGGCACTGGGGAGGAAGGGATTAACATTGGGAGGCAATGAAAGGGTTAACTGTGTGAGGGGAGTGTTTTACAAGGGGGTGGGGGGTGTGTACTTCTCTGTTACACACTGTTCCGGAAGGCTGTGCTCAGCGATCCCAGAAAACAATGCAGCCTTCCTCCCTGTCGGTGTTTGCCAGCAATCGCCAGGCTCTGGCGGGTAATCACCGGACCCGGTGATTGACACCCGCGATCAGTGCCGTGGGTAGGGCAGGGCATGCGTCCCCTACCCTGAAATGCAGGATCACGTTTATATTTGTGATCCTGCGCACAGGGGCCCCTTATAGCAGTATATGTACTTCAGGCGGTCCCCTAGTGGTTAATAGTAAAAAGATTCTAGAAGCAGTGGGCGGGAGGTGAGGATGAGCTGGTCTGCACTCTCAGGGGATCCTGGCCAATCCTCAAGCAGGTGGCTTGGCATGGGGTCAGGAAAGCCCTTAAAAGTGAATGACATGCAGGACTCTGGGAGGGGTCCCAGTGGGAAAGGGCCTACCTACAGGCAGGGTGCTGGAAAGGAGGATAACTTAACATCATCATACTCCAGAGCAAGGACCACCTGTACAGCCAGAAAAGGAGCTAGCCCAGTAGAAGGCCTGAAGGCAGCCACCTACCTAAATCTGCACACAGGACTGAGACTGAGTGAGTAGTCCTACACCCCAAGGCCAAAAAGGGGAAAAAGAGCACTCTGGTGGGAAACCCAATTAGCTCCTTACCTGGGACTGTTTCATTTAAAGTGGCAGGCACTGGATCCCTTGCCCAGGAACTCCCTCAGGCAACTGTATAAGAAGAGGATTATCTGGGGTCTGCGGAGGTACACCTGGAGAGGCTAGAGTGCTCACCAAGCAGAAGTTCTACTGTGTAAAGACTTGTACATAATTGCTAAGGAGTTTGTTCTCAGTTGCAGTTCCACTGGGCATCCCGTACACCCCTTACCCCATCCATGTTCAACACCCCTCAATAAAACATAAAAAGCCAACCTCAAGGACTGTCTCTGAGTTTACTGTCTCTGAATGCAAGTCTGTGGAAAACTGTGTGTTGCCTGGCTGTGCAGGACTACAGGGAGACCCAAATCTCTAGCGACTCCTAAGGGGGTAGTGCTACATATACTAATGCTGGAAAGGCTATTGTTTGAGCAATTCAGATCAAGGGTCTTGAATTAAAATTCACGTAGGACCAGTCAGTAACATTTTCTCTTCTGGCAGAGGTCTCATGTTTGCGCTATAACACATCACAGTCCCCCTTTACATCACAGCTCCCCCTGTACATCGCAGCTCCCCCTGTACATCACAGCTCCCCCTGTACATCACAGCTCCCCTGTACATCACAGCTCCCCCTGTACATCACAGCTCCCCTGTAGTCTGTACATCACAGCTCAGTGTCTTTACCACCTCCCGCCTGCCATATAGTACAATGACGGGCGCAAGGTGGTTCTCTCGTTCTGGGAGGATGTCATATGATGTCCTCCCATTCTAATCGCACATGCGCGCAGCTCCGGGAGCGCGTAGCGCGGCAATCGGCGGTGCGCTGTGTCCCCCCGGGCACAGCGGATCACCGATCAATGGACAGAGTCGAAGATGTCGGCTCGGTCATGTGATCAGCTGTGTCCAATCACAGCTGATCACATGTAAACAGGGAAATGCCGGACGGCATTTCTCTCCTCACGCTGACAGCTCGAGAGAGAAGAGAGCCGGTAATCGGCATTCCTCAGAGGGGACATGTACACTGATCATCAGTGTGCCCTGATGATAATCTGTGTAGCCCCAGCAGTGCCACCTGTCAGTGTCCATCAGTGCCACCTGTCAGTGCTCATCCATGCCACCTGCCAGTGCCCATCAGTGCCACATCAGTGCCACATTTCAGTGCCTACCAGTGCACATCAATGCCACATATCAGTGCCCATCTGAGCTGCCTTCAGTGTCACCCATCACCCATCAGTGCCAGTCAGTGCCACCTATCATTGGTGCCAGTCAGTGCCGTCTATCAGTGTGCATCAGTGCCACCCATCAATGCAGGTCAGTGCCACTTATCAGTGCTGCCAGTCAGTACCACCTATCAGTGTGCATCAGTGCCTCCTAACAGTGCCAGACAGTGCCACCTAACAGTGCCAGTCAGTGCCGCCTATCAGTGCCATATATGAGTTCTGCCTTTCAGTGCCTATCAGTGATGCCTGTCAATGCCCATCAGTGCCACCTACCAGTGCCTCCTCATCAGTGCCCTTCAGTGCCAGCCTATCAGTGTCCATCAGTGCAGCCTATCAGTGCCCATCACTGCAGCATTAGCGCACATCAGTGAAGGAGAAAAATCAATTATTTACAAAATTTTATAACAAAAACTAAGAAAAAATGTTTTTTTTTTTTCAAAATTTTCAGTGGTTTTTGGTTTGTTTAAGAAAAAAAAAAAAACCCAGAGGTGATTAAATACCACCAAAATAAAGCTCTATCTGTCACAAAAAAAAAAAAGATAAAAATTTCATATGGGTACAGTGTTGCATGACCGCGCAATTGTCATTCAAAGTGTGACAGCGCTGAAAGCTGGAAATTGGCCTGGGCAGGAAGGGGGTATATAAGCCCTGTAGGTTAGTGGTTAACCTATCCTTCCCCTCATAGCCTCCTTTACATCACAACCCTCGTTAACATCACAGTCCCTTCTTTACATCAGTGACCACAATCTCCCATTACTTTTACATCACAGACCCCCTTCATATCACAGCCTCACCCCCTTTACAGTAGTACTACACAGTCCTCAGCTCCCCTACATATCACAGATCCCCTTTACATTGGAGTCCCCTACATATCACATCACCCCTTCATATCACAGCCTCACCCCCTTTACAGTAGTACTACACAGTCCTCAGCTCCCCTTCACATCACAGATCCCCTTTACATTGGAGTCCCCTACATATCACAGGGCCCCTTCATATCACAGTTTACCTTTTACATTGTATTCTCCTTCACATCACAGTGCCCCATTACTTTGCCGTACCCCTTTATAACACAGCACCCCTTTATAACACAGCACCCCTTTATAACACAGCACTCCTTTATAAACACACCCCTTTATAACACAACACCCCTTTATAACACAGCACCCCTTTTTATAACACAGCACCCCTTTATAACACAGCACCCCTTTATAACACAGTGCCTCTCACATCAGAGTGCCCATTTATATTACAGTGCCCCTTTCAATGCAAGCCTCCCAGCCTCACAGTTCTACTTCAGCAGGGCAGAGCAGTTATCTGCGGTTGGGATGTCCTCTCCTGGGTCTCCCACCTATCATCCTCACAGCAGGGCGGGGGCGAGAGGTGCGCAGATCTGGATGGAGGACAGGAGCTACACAACTCATTATATTACCAATCAGGTGATTACCGCTTGTTAGTTTGAAAAGACTCTCCCTCTCTGTGCAGATCTGCAGCACCTCCCACCCCCTGCCCTACTCTAAGGATTAAATCAGTGGCCATTCGGGGGACCCGGGAGAAGACACCCAGCTGCTAAGTGGCCCAGAAAGGACTGTCACTTGGTCTGGGTCCGGACCACGGTCTGCCATTTATTGATCCCTGAATTAGATATTTTGTACCATTTGCTAGTTTTCACTAAGAGGCGCCTGCTGCATCTGCTGGTACCCAGCCACTGAGCCCACACATCTATATTTTAGATTAAGATATCCATCCAGGAGGATTTAGCACTGTCCATACTGTAACTCTGGCAACCAATGTTGAAGCCCTAATGAAGGAGGATGCTTTGGCTCAAAACGTGTTTGTTATTGGTTTGTTACTGGTTATAGCGCTGATGCTATTTGAGCAATAAAATAATACAATTAATTTATTAATGTATTTATTTTTATATATGATCTAGGTCAATGAAGATTCCTTGCAATCTGTTTCTTCCAATACAACTTGTATCCAATGTGACAGAATTCATCTTTTTTTCGGATCCCGAGCCTCCAGAATTACAACAATTTACTTTTTTGTGTATTTCTTTGTATCTACCTTTTCGCCCTCTCTGGCAATGGCTTTATCTTCTTCTTGGTCATCTTTGACCGGCATCTCCATACCCCAATGTATTTCTTTGTCGGCAATTTGTCCTTTATAGACATGACTTTTGCTTCAGTAACCATCCCGAAGATGTTGGCCAAGTTCCTGATGAACCTGGATACCATTTCCTTCACCGCCTGCTTTGTACAGATGTATATTTTTCTGTCTTTGGAGCAACAGAGTGTTATCTCCTGGCCGTAATGGCCTACGATCGCTACGTAGCTATATGCTCACCCTTACACTACCAAACCATCATGACAAGACAACTTTACATAATACTGTCAATGGCAGCCTGGTGTGGAGGCTTTGCTGCTCCAATTGTAGTCACCATTCTTGCCGTAAATGCACCTTACTGTGGTTCCAACATACTCCACAATTACTACTGTGATTATACTCCGTGCTCAATTTGGTTGGTGGCGACCACTTCCTCTCTATAGAAGTTGGGTCCTTCTGTGGTGCCGTTGTCATTTTGTCAAGCTTTTCTGTAATTCTTATATCTTACACTAATATTATTTTAACAATCCTCAGGATCAGTTCCAAAGGAGGCCGGAAGAAAACCTTTTCTACCTGCGCCTCTCACTTTACAGTTGTCAGTGTATATTTCTTGCCGATTATGTTTGTGTACATTCGTCCAACAGGGCCTCTACTCCTGTAGTGGATTCTTTGGTGTCCCTGGTATATTCAATATTAACTCCTATAATGAATCCCATAATATACAGCATGAGAAACAAAGACGTTAAAATTGCTTTCCAGAGGAAAATAAGCTTCATCTGTACCAGAAGTAGTTTGGCCACAGAATAGAACGCATGTGATTAATGAATAAAGCCATTTATTTAACTTGGATGAATTAAATGAACATTCTATAACAGTTTTGGCTCAATTTGTTCTTAATTTTATACAGTTTTAGACTGATTTTTTTTTACTATATATGCATTATTTATAACGTTTTAAGAGCTCCTGCTTCTGCTCAAGGCTGTGAATTCTATTCACCCTGCTGGCAGAAAAGAGAGAAGGGAGCAGCGTCCCAAGTTACTCCAGAGACTTGGTCGTGTGTGAGGGGATGAACGCCGCTCAAACCAATCCCCAGAAGTCATGCAACAACACTGTGTGATGGATGGCCTCAGCTGCCGCTCCAGCCATACCCACTGATGCGTTCCGTCCCACCCATGGGTGGCTTGGTCACAGAGCTTCTGTGACCAAGCCTCCTATTGGCGGTGTGAAACGCATCAAAGGGCATGGCCGGAGCTGTGGCTGAGCCCATCCATCACACGGTGTCATTGCCTAACTCCTGGGGATTGGTATATATACATTATTATTGTAAAATGGGGGATGTTTAGCTTTCATGGTAGATGTGTTTTTGAAGTGAGTTCACATCATGTTTGACTACTGTTTGACTACTTGCCCTCCTGAGGATTTACCCCCCTTCCTGACCAGGCCTTTTTTTTGCTATTCTGCGCTGCACTATTTCAGCTGGTAATTGAGCGGTCATGCAATGCTGTACCTTTTTTTCACACAAGTAGAGCTTTCTTTCAGTGGTATTTGATCACGTGTGTGCTTTTTATTTTTTGCACTATTAATAAAAAAAGACTGAATTTAAAAAAAAGAAAAAAAAAAACCTTGATATTTTCTCATTTCTGTCATAAAAAAAAAATCCAAAAAACTGCCAAACTGTATTCTGCAACACGTCCCAATAATTTGTATATTGATTGCTTTGTGTGAAAGTTATAGCGTCTACAAACTATGGTATAGATAATGGAATTTACACAGCTTTTACTTTCTTACTACCTATCACATTTCTTGAGGTGCTAAAATACCAGGACAGTACAAACACCCCCAAATGACCCCTTTTTGGAAAGTAGACACCCTAAGCTATCTGCTGAGAGGCATATTGAGGTCATGGAAGATTAATTTTTTTTCCACAAGTTTCTGGAAAATGATAAAAAAATGTTTTTGTTTACACAAAGTTGTCATTTAAATGATATATTTCTCACACAAGTCATGGGTATATGTGGAATTACACCCCAAAATACATTCTGTTACTTCTACCTAGTATGGGGATACCACATGTGTGAGACTTTTTGGGAGCCTATCCACATACAGGAGCCTGAAATCCAATGACCACTTTGAAAGCCTGAAGGTGCGTAACTTCCTCACTTCACTTCCTCACTACCTATCACAGTTTCAGAGGCCCTGCAATGCCAGGAGAGCACCCCCTCCCAAATGACCCCTTTTTGGAAAGTAGACACCCCAAGGAAATTGATAAGAAGCATAGTGAGGATTTTGCAGATCCCGTTTGTTGCCACAAGTTTTTGGAAAATAAAGGGGTCATTGGGGGTGGGGGGGGGGGGGGGGGGTTGGTGCTACCCTGGCATTTCAAGGACTCCAAAAATGTGATAGGTGGTCAGGAAGTGTAATGAGGAAATAAAGCATTTTAAAAGCCTGAAAGTGCTTATTGGATTTTGGGGTCCTGTACTTGGCTAGACTGCCAAAACATCTCTCACATGTGGTATCCCCATACTCAGGAGAAGTAGCAGAATGTATATTGGGGAGTAATTTCACATATACCCATAGCATGTGAGCAATAAATCATTTAAGTGACATTTTGTGTAAAAAAACATATTTTTGTAATTTTCCAAAAACTTATGGTAAAAAAATAAACTTTGCTATTGACTCAACATGCCTCTCAGCAAATAGTTTGGGTGCCTACTTTCCAAAAAGGGGTCATTTTGGGGGGTGGGGGCATTTTATTCCCAGCATTAGAAGTTTATGCCACACATCGATCACTCTTCTAATCACCTGAGTCCAAGCCTTTTCTGACACTTTTTGTTTACATGGAAAAAAAAAATGTATTTTTTGCTAGGAAATTACTTTGAACCCCCAAACATTATATATTTTTTAAAGCAGACCCCCTAGTGGGTGCTGCAATTTTTTTTATATCACATAGTACTCATGCTGCAATTTTTCAAATGCAATTTTTTTGAAAACATTTTTTTTTACTTTTAATGCACAAAAACACAATATATCAACCACTTACTTAGCAACTTATAAAAGATGCTAAGTAAATAGATACCAAACATGACATGCTTTAAAACTGCTCATGCCCTGTGCAATGGCGACAAACTGCAATTTGAATACCCATAGGCAACACTTTAAAAGCCTTTACAAGCTACCATTTTAGATTTACAGAGGAGGTCTAGTGCTAGAATTACTGCCCTTGATCTGAAGTTTGCAGCGATACCTCACATGCATTGTGCAATCGCTGTTTACATGCTGACACTGGGTCAAAAAAGCAACGGTGCTTTTTTTTAAAGTTAATTTGATTTTTTACATTATTTTTACACTGTCCCTTTCATTTTTTTTTTATTTTTATCACTTTTAATGCTATCACAGGGATCACTTTTAATGCTATCACAGGGAATGAAAATATCCCCTATAACTTCAATGGGGATTGCCATATACAGTCAGGTCCATAAATATTGGGACATCAACACATTTCTAATATTTTTGCACCACCACCACAATAGATTTGAACTGAAACAAATAAGATGTGCTTTAACTGCAGACTGTCAGCTTTAATTTGAGGGTATTTACATCCAAATCAGGTGAACGGTGTAGGAATTACAACAGTTTGCATATGTGCCTCCCACTTGTTAAGGTACCAAAAGTAATGGGACAATTGGCTTCTCAGTTGTTCCATGGCCAGGTGTGTGTTATTCCCTCATTATCCCAATTACAATGAGCAGATAAAAGGTCCAGAGTTCATTTCAGGTGTGCTATTTGCATTTGGAATCTGTTGCTGTCAACTCTCAAGATGAGATCCAAAGAGCTGTCACTATCAGTGAAGCAAGCCATCATTAGGCTGAAAAAAACAAAACAAACCCAACAGAGAGATAGCAAAAACATTAAGGCGTGGCCAAAAAACAACTGTTTGGAACATTCTTAAAAAGAAGGAACGCACCAGTGAGCTCAGCAACACCAAAAGACCCGGAAGACCACAGAAAACAACTGTGGTGGATGACCAAAGAATTCTTTCCCTGGTGAAGAAAACACCCTCCACAACAGTTGGCCAGATCAAGAACACTCTCCAGAAGGTAGGTGTATGTGTGTCAAAGTCAATAATCAAGAGAAGACTTCACCAGAGTGAATACAGAGGGTTCACCACAAGATGGAAACCATTGGTGAGCCTCAAAAACAGGAAGGCCAGATTAGAGTTTGCCAAACGACATCTAAAAAAGACTTCACAGTTCTGGAACAACATCCTATGGACAGATGAGACCAAGATCAACTTGTACCAGAGTGATGGGAAGAGAAGAGTATGGAGAAGGAAAGGAACTTCTCATGATCATAAGCATACCACCTCATCAGTGAAGCATGGTGGTGGTAGTGTCATGGCGTGGGCATGTATGGCTGCCAATGGAACTGGTTCTCTTGTATTTATTGATGATGTGACCGCTGACAAAAAGCAGCAGGATGAATTCTGAAGTGTTTCGGGCAATATTATCTGCTCATATTCAGCCAAATGATTCACAACTCATTGGACGCCGCTTCACAGTGCAGATGGACAATGACCCAAAGCATACTGCAAAAGCAACCAAAGAGTTTTTTAAGGGAAAGAAGTGGAATGTTATGCAATGGCCAAGTCAATCACCTGAACTGAATCCGATTGAGCATGCATTTCACTTGCTGAAGACAAAACTGAAGGGAAAATGCCCCAAGAACAAGCAGGAACTGAAGACAGTTGCAGTAGAGGCCTGGCAGAGCATCACCAGGGATGAAACCCAGCGTCTGGTGATGTCTATGCGTTCCAGACTTCAGGCTGTAATTGACTGCAAAAGATTTGCAACCAAGTATTAAAAAGTGAAAGTTTGATTTTATGATTATTATTCTGTCCCATTACTTTTGGTCCCTTAACAAGTGGGAGGCACATATGCAAACTGTTGTAATTCCTACACCGTTCACCTGATTTGCATGTAAATACCGTCAAATTAAAGCTGGCAGTCTGCAGTTAAAGCACATCTTCATTTCATTTCAAATCCATTGTGGTGGTGTATAGAGCAAAAAATGTTAGAATTGTGTCGATGTCCCACTGTTTATGGACCTGACTGCATTCTTTTTTGAGAAATCTGGGATCTATCAGACTCTAGATATCTCCCTGCCCTTACATTATTTAATCTTACCAAGATCGGTGTGATCAGATGCTTTCCAATTTACAAATGGTGCTGTATATATACTGCGAAAATTGAAGTGATGAAATGCTCGTAGCTTCCGATTTCTTAGACTATAGAGATGATTGGCACCATTCCGGTCTCCAGCATCATCCTGGTATAACCATTCAAAGTCCAGTGATGTACCAGTATGTCGCTGGTCCTTGTTGGGTGTATATGCTATGTTTCTTTTTTTTATGCAGCCTGTGGTCTGAATGAAAAAAAAAAGAAGAAATCTCTGCCAGAAATAGTGTGTGGTATGCCCACCATTAGAATATTCCGCCCTGCATCATCCCACTTCTAATGGTGGGCACACATGAAATGTGCCAAAAAGTATTTTGAAATATGTATGCCGAAGCATAGGGGCCATCCACCCACTGGCCACCCCAGACCCCCATGTTTCAGCATATATGCTTTTTTTTTTTAACTGTGGATGAAAAATATCATCCAACAGCACTGCACACATCTATTTATGTATATTCTGAAAGCAAGACCATGTTGCTGTCAGCATAAACAAGTCGGTTCTGCAGCTGAATGACATTCCTGCAAAGAAAACAGCAATGGTTAACAATAAAACAGTAACTCAATAAAACAATAAAATCGTAACAGTAGAATAGTAACAGTGACAAGAAAAAAAAATCTATAACTACTTTTGTTTTTTTAACATTTTTTAGTTGTTGTTGGACTTGAACTTTTTATTTATTTATTTTTTAACTTTAACTTTTTAAAACAGATTGTAGGATCTCAATTTCCTGACTACCTAACATCTTTTGAGACCCTGTGTATATATGTGCCCTAGACTGTGCCGTGCTGTACCCTATACTAATACTCCACTAGTGTATGGTTAGCAACAGAAGCAGTCCTTGAGGCAGAGACCAGGTTGACCAGAACATGAGGGAAAAAAAAAGCAGGTGTCGCACCTAATTCCATGTCTGCTACAGACTACATCTTTTTTTCGGTCGTCCTTTGGGTTGGGGTACCGGGAATGGCATCGGGAAAGGGCCGTGATGATCTCTTCCTGGAATTTTAGGAAGGATCCACTTCATCCAGTTGCTTTGTAAAGCACAAAAGCGTTACATAGAGCCAACTGAAATAAATAAACAGACACTTTTTTGTACCAGCATCTGGCTTTTCAGGAAACTAAGTACGGCTCCATCATCTGGTCATGAAGTCCACCCCTCCCATGTTAAGGTTATAGTCATGGACACAGAGAGGCTTCTCAACAACACCAGCTGCTGTGGCAATTTGGATGGTCGTGTGTCAGGAATGGACTCGCCAATGGTGGTGGGACTCACCTGCCTTGTGGGCTGCAGTACCAAGGCTGGCCAGCAGGTGCTCTCAGCAGCCAGAATCTCACTCCTGCAATCAGGCCATCACCTGAGGCTGATTGCAGGAGGTGTATTTAAGCAGAACCAGGCCTGTGATCAGTGCGTTGGTGTATGTTTCCCATGAGCCCCTGTACCTTGTCTGCTTCCTGCCTGATCCTGCTTTGGTCCTGACTCTGAACCAACTCCGCCTGTCCTGACCTCGGCTATTCCTGACTACTCTTCCGCCTGCTCCTTGTACCTTGCCTGCCCGTTTGCTACCGACCCGACCTGCCCGACTACGTTTAGTATTGTTCTTATTGTTATCTGTTGGAGTTTGGTTTGTTTACACTGCGTTTATCTATTGTTTAGTCTTTAATAAATTGTATTGTTTATTCTATACCTAAAGCCTGCGTTTCCCTGTGTCAGTCCACACATCTCTGGTCATACCTGGAGCCCTGACATCGTGTCTGCGTGACTGGAAGACAGGACTAAAACATCCCGTTTGTCCTTCCACTTCACTGCAAGCAATTCATCATTCCTCAAGCAGGCTTTCTCCCCCTAAGTCGGGTATTTACAAGCCAATATTGAAGCCCTAATGAAGGAGGATGCTTTGGCTCAAAACGTGTTTGTTACTGGTTATAGCGCTGATGCTATTTGAGCAATAAAATAATATAATGAATTAATTGTATTTATTTATATGATCTAGGCCAATGAAGATTCTTTGAAATTTGTTTCTTCCAATACAACTTGTACCCATGTGACAGAATTCATCCTTTTCGGATTCCCGAGCCTCCAGAATTACAACAATTTACTTTTGTGTGTATTTCTTTGTATCTACCTCTTCATCCTCTCTAGCAATGGCATTATCTTCTTTTTGGTCATCTTTGACCGGCATCTCCATACCCCAATGTATTTCTTTGTCAGCAATTTGTCCTTTAGAGACATGACCTACACTTCAGTAATTGTCCCGAAGATGTTGGCCAAGTTCCTGATGAACCTGAATACCATTTCCTACACCGCCAGCTTTGTACAGATGTATGTTATTGTGTCTTTGGGAGCAACAGAGTGTTATCTCCTGGCCGTAATGGCCTACGATCGCTACGTAGCTATATGCTCACCCTTACACTACCAAATCATCATGACAAGACAACTTTGCATAATACTGTCAATGGCAGCCTGGTGTGGAGGCTTTGCGGCTCCACTAGCAGCCACCATTCTTGCCTTAAAGTTACCTTACTGTGGTCCCAACATAATCTACCATTACTATTGTGATGATACTCTGCTGCTCAGTTTGGCTTCTGCCGACATATCTTTCCATTTGTTAGTTGGGTCTTTCAGTGGTGCCGTTGTCTTTTTGTCAAGCTTTTCTGTAATTTTTATAACTTACACAAAGATTATTTTAACAATCCTCAGGATCAGTTCCAAAGGAGGCCGGAAGAAAACCTTTTCTATCTGTGCCTCTCACTTTACAGTTGTCAGTATATTTTTCTTGCCATTTTTGTTCATGTACCTTCGTCCACCAGCCATCTACTCATCTGAGGTGGACTCTTTTTTGACCATGTTATATACAGTATTAACTCCCACGATGAATCCCATAATATACAGCATGAGAAACAAGGACATTAAAATTGCTTTCCAGAGGAAAATAGGCTTCATCTGTACCAGAAGTAGTTTGGCCACAGAATAGAACGCATGTGATTAATGAATGAAGCCATTTATTAACTTGGATGAATTAAATGGACATTCTATAACAGTTTTGGCTCAATTTGTTCTTAATTTTATACAGTTTTAGACTGATGTTTTTTACTATATATATATATATATATATATATATATATATATATATATGCATTATTTATAACGGTTTAAGAGCTCCTGCCGGTGCTCAAGGCTATGAATTATATTCATCCTGCTGGCAGAAAAGAGAGAAGGGAGCAGCGTCCAAAGTTACTCCAGAGACTTGGTCGTGTGTGAGGGGATGAACGCCGCTCAAACCAATCCCCAGAAGTCAGGCAACAACTCTGTGTGATGGTTGGCCTCAGCTGCCGCTCAAGCCATGCCCACTGACGCGTTCCGTCCCACCCATGAGGGGCTTGGTCACTGAACTGCTGTGACCAAGTCTCCTATGGGAAGTGTGAAACGCATCAGACAGCCTGGCCAGAGCTGTGGCTGAGCCCATCCATCACACAGTGTCATTGCCTGACTCCTGGGGATTGGTATATATACATTATTATTGTGAAATGGGGAAGTTTAGCTTTCATGGTAGATGCGTTTTTGAAGTTCACATCAGTCTAAACTATGTTTAACCCCTTGCCCTTCTAAGGATTTACTCCCCTTCCTGACTAGGCCTTTTTTTGCTAATCTGTGCTGCTCTATTTCAAGCTGGTAACTGCGCGGTCATGCAATGCTGTACCCTTTTTTCCACACAAATAGAGCTTTCTTTCAGTGGTATTTGATCACCTGTGCGCTTTTTATTTTTTGCGCTATAAACAAAAGACCAAAATTGTGAAAAAAACAAAACAATATTTTTTACTTTGGCTATAAAAAATCTATACTAAACTCAAAGTTAGTCATAAATTTAGGCCAAAATGTATTCTGCTCCATGTTTTTGGTAAAAAAAATCCCAATAAGTGTATATTGATTGCTTTGTGTGAAAATTATAGCGTCTACAAACTATGGTATAGATACTGCAATTTACTCCATTTTTTTGCTATACAGATCTGCATTAGTTTGACAATTGCTATGTATAACCACTTGCCATCCTAAGGATTTACCCCCCGTTCTTCCCCTACCAGGCCTTATTTTGCTATTCAGCGCTGCAATTGGTAATTGCGCGGTCCCGCAATGCTGTACCGAAATTAAATTTTTGTCCTTTCTTTCACACAAATAGAGCTTTACTTTGGTGGCATTTGATCATCTGTGCACTTTTTATTTTTTGCGCTAATAATAAAAAAAAAGACCGAAAATTTTGAAAAAAATAACCCAATATTTTCTCATTTCTGTCATAAAAAATATCCAAAAAACTCAAATTTCTTTTACAAAGAGTTTTATTGAGGGTTAAGCAAAGAAAAAACAAACATTTGAAATACAAGTTCAATGACCAACAAATATAAATTGTACTGGGCAAGTGGAAGCCATTTCAAGGTATACATTGATAGGTGCATAAACTGAAATGTTTACTTAAGAGTCTTTTAGAAAAGGATGTGGGAAGGGAATGGGAAGGGAACAATAAGCAAACCGTTGTAATTCACCGACAATAAAGACTCTATAAGAAATTGTTTTACAGCATCAACATTATAGAAAACATGAGAGGCACAGAAAAAAAAACCCTCCAAAGAATGATACATGTTTTAAACCTTGGATGCATAAAGAGATCTAGGTTGCAAAGATAGTATTGCAGATGTAACCCAGAAAACAGCAAACACAAACCGTAAAATATGTTTAAAGACAGATTGGACAGAAGGATAAAAGAGGACAAGCAGTGGAAAGACACGGACAACAACAACATCAAAAAAAAAAAAAAAAAGGAAGAATAAGGGGGGAAGGAGGGCTCCGGGGCGACCACAGCAGACTCCATTCTTATATCGACAGAAGGGACTGATCAAATCTTAAGGGCATACACCCTAATCCATAGTCGACTTACTTTAGGGCAAGTCCACCAGATGTGGCCCATAGTGCCCAATTGTTGGCATCCCCGAAAACAGACCGGAGAATGTGAAGGGATAAAACTAGCTAGACAAGCAGGCATATAGTACCATCGGTAAAGAATTTTGTAAGCATTCTCAAGGATAATGACATTCCTGGAACATTTGGATATTGCTTGGGTCATGGTCTGCCAATCCTGTTGATCCAAGGACCCCCCTAATTCAGACTGCCAACGCTGGTGATAGGAGCGAACCGGAAGGGTTCTAGAAGATATAATAGCGGAGTAAATCAAGGAGATCAAACCCGGGGCATGAGGCCTATGTCTACACTGGCTTTCAAAGGGGGACAGACGGTAAGGACCCGGGAGCACGCGTAATTAGTGTATTAATAAAGTGACGAAGTTGAAGGTAACCAAAATGTTCCCGTAAAGGGATTTTATAAGAAGAGCGTTTAAAGTTTTCGAAGGTAATTATTCTAGTGGGAGATAGAAGCGAGTGAACATCATAAAAACCATGTGTCTGCCACCATCAGGCAAACTGTCTAGGATTATCCCTTCCCGGAGGAAATAATGGGTTATGGAATAGACGTAACAACGGCAAGTGAGGGGAAATGAGGCCAGCGGAGTATTTAATAGAATCCCAAAGATGTAACGAAAACGTCAGCGCCAGGCTAAGGGTAGATGGACGTTGAGAGATAGGAAGCCATGGAAGGGAAGAGAGCAGTATCGGGTGAGAGTCCATCATATCCACAACAGCCCACAGGGGGAAGTGGTGAGATGCTATGAACATGTGCTAGAGGGGCAATGTTAGCCGCCAAATAGTAGGACTGGAGATTTGGAACAGATAACCCACCCACACTCCGTTGCGCAAATAAGATATGTTTGCTAATTCTGGGTCGAGACGAGCTCCAAATAAAAGACAGAAGTTTTCACTGATGAGTACGAAGTATATGCGAAGGTACTGGAAACTGGTAAAACACGAAATAGGTATAATAGTTTAGGAAGATAGGTCATACGTATCGCATTTATTCTGCCGAACCATGATAACAGAAAATGAGACCGAGATGAGAATAACTCGGACAGCTCATGAAAGACAGTGGGAAAGTTAGCCTGATACAGTCTGTCATATGTCGGGGTAAGCTTAATTCCTAGATATGGTAAGGCGGAAAGCCATTGAAAAGGGAATGTTTGTTTCAAAGTCAACAAGAGTGATGGTGGGAGGGTGGACCGACATAGCTCTTGATTTAGCAGGGTTGACATGTAAACCCGAAAGAGTTGCAAAAGAATCAAGAACCGCGAGCAAGTTGGGCAAAGTAACCCCCGGGTTCGAAATTGACAATAATATGTCATCTGCAAACAAAGACAATTTATGTTGGGAGCCCGCGGCCTCAATCCCCTTAAATATCAGGATGCATACGAATGGCTTCATCCAATGGTTCCAGGGCCAGGATAAAAAGTAAAGGAGAAAGCGGGCAACCTTGCCTAGTTGCCTCTAGCAATCGAGTGAGAACGTGGAAGGACTCAAAAACCATAATATTTAAGCTTCGCTTGAGGGGATGTGTATAGCAAAGAGATCCATCATAGGAACGAAGGGCCAAAGCCAAAACGATGGAGGACCGATAGGAGATATGGCCAAGATAAAGTGTCAAAGGCCTTGTTAATATCTAAAGATAAGAGCATCATATCAAGTTTAACGAGTGTGGGCCAAATGTTGCAATGTAAAATATGTCTGATAGCATCTCCAGCCTGCCTGTGGGGAACAAATCCCACTTGGTCTTTTTTTGATCAAACGAGAAAGGAAGGAATTCAATCGAGTAGCCAAAATCTTAGTAAGAATCTTCATGTCGATATTGATAAGAGAGATAGGCCTATAATTTGCCCAGGAAGAGTGATCTCGATCTGGTTTAGGGATCATAACCACATTAGCAGTTAAAGAATCCGGGGAAAAAATTTGAACCTCCCTTCACCGCGTTAAACATAGCTGCAAGGTGAGGGAGCGAGCACATCAGCTAATTTCTTGTAATATAAGTGCCGTGTATCCATCGGGACCTGGACGTTTACCCGTTTTTTAGATCTGCTATGCATTGCAAAACTCAGATACTTGAATATTATGATCCATCAAGTCCTTATGGGCCGACGTTAAAGTAGGCAGGGGAAGATGAGATAAAAAGTCAGAAATAGACTGAGGATCAGCCCGAGTAGGATCAGAATAAAGTTTAGCTAAACAATACCGTAACTCTTCCAAAACTGCTACAGGATTGCTCGTAAGGGTATTGTGACGGGTGCGTAACAATATTGGTTTGGGGTGCTGCGCAAAAGAGCGCAGTCTACGGGCTAACATAGAGTCCGGTTTGTTTGCTTTACTATACCATTTCTGGCGAGTCCAAGGTAAGGAGCGTTCAGCCTCATCCATTAGGCAAAGATCTAACTCTAAGCGGGCTGATCCAACAGCCTACGGTTCGACGGGGAAGGTGACTGTTTAAATTGGGCCGACGCAGAAGCCAACTTCGATTCCAACTGACACTGTTTAAGCTGTCTTGCCTTCTTTCATCTGGAGGCTATTTGGATTAATATGTTCTCTAAGAACTTCCTTGTACGCTTCCCATAATGTTACTGAAGAAGAGACAGAACCGGAATTTAATTGGAAATATTCCTGAGACTTACGATGTAGTTCCGCCTGAAACCTACCTCAGTGAAAGCAAAGAATCATTCATTATCCAGGAAGAGAAGGCTGGCCTACTTAGGAGAGAGAACGGCACAGACCACCAAAAATAGGTAATTCATGATCCGACCATGGAACCGTTAGAATAGAAATAGCGCGAACTAAAGGGAGGTGTTTACGCGAAACAAAAGGCATGATCAATTCTGGAAATGAGAATGATGAGGGTGTGAATAATAAGTGTAGTCTTTCCCCTGAGGATGAAATTCACGCCATAAGTCTACCAGACATCATGGGTAGTTAACGCACGTACAAAAGACTTTGCCGATGTAGAAGGGCCAGAACGCTCCGCTGGATATTTATCTACTGCGGGGTTTAGCACTAA